AGCACTAGCCCTCTTCGCACAGATGAGGGTGTTCAGGCTAGGGTACAGGCAAGGAAAAAACAGGCAGAGTCAGTCTAAAAGTTTTTCCAGTGGGTTTTGCTGTCAGCTGTTTTACAGGCTCACGTATCTGGCACCAAGCTGTAGTTTCAGGCTTCCTTTTGTGAAATTCCCTGCTACAGGTAGGTTAAAGCCAGTAAATTTGTATTTGCTTAGGATTCCAGGAGCATCTCTCACAAACACACTAGTGCAGAACAAATAAAGGCTACAGAAAAGTCAGTCCTAAGGGCAACACTCCACTTCTGCTTTCAGACACGAGGACTGGACGTGGGTCACACGGAAGGCTGGAATTGTTCTCTGAGACACAGAAAAGCAGCATGACTTTGTCCGCGGTCACAGCAGCCATTGCTGACGGCCACGATGGTTCCCATAGTCCCTGTCTAGCTCCTATGCCCCTTTTTTGTTCCCATTTCAGTAGATTAAAGATAGCAACAGAAATATCGACGTCAATTATCTCTTGACACCTTTGACAACGAGTTCCAAGCAAGAAACCCTTGCTTGCTCCACCAAGCAACACAATATCAGTTGCATTGCTGCCTCGACACTGAAAACTCACCAGGAAGGGGAGTGGATACACAGCAGGTTCTTCAAACACCGCAAGGGACAGGTTGAGAAAGATGAAGAAGTAGGTGGCTGTTCGCATAATCCAGTGGTTATAGAGATAATAAAGCCTGTAGAAAGAAAGCAGTGGCACCATAAATAAAGGCTTCAGTGCACATACCCAGGGGCTCACGAAACGCATCTTGGAAGAACAGCACGTGCTGTCCCAAACAGCCATGGAGGAAGAAGGGTAACAGTAGCACAATTTTTGCTAGCCGGGGATTTGGCAATTTGTTTCCCAGCCTTTCCTTATAGTCTCATAGCTGATGGATGCTATACGCCCTTTCAGGGAGCAAAAAAACCCAGGCAGGTGGAACACAGGCATTCTTCAGTTCAGCTGAAGACTGCAACATACAGATTTGGTAAAGCTGCTTCCTTTTTGTAATTACCTTGCTCCTTAATTTGAGTGCAAACTTCTGCTAAGCTCAGGTATCCACATGACACACAAACTAAGTCTGATTAGTTATCTAACACCTTTTCTTTGCAGGTTAAAAAGCAAAGCGATAAGAAAAGCCACCAGAGAGAAGGCTGGAGTTCCACAGGAAAGTGTTTTTTTGTAGAGAGCTTAAGCAGTATCCTGTCCCTACGGCAGCAAAACCCCTGGTGAATGCTAGCAATAACCGTGAACACATCCACCTCTAAGCCTCCCACAGGAGGTTTCACACAACGGCACGCAGCAGTGGCTCCTCTGGGGAGATGCGGAACAGATCTGCAGAGCACGTAGTTTCTCTGCTAATAAAAAAAGCTGCCAACATTGCCAAACAGTCATCTCATCTGCCCAATAGCCACCTGCATAAAGGCTACAGGGCAGGTGATTATACAGATGACATGATATTATACCCTTAATAACAGCATCAAGACACAACCACGTAAAACCTGCTCATTTCTACTATTTATGCTAAGCACACTTGGGCAGGACAAAATTATATATGCACGCGGTCTGGTTTTCCAAAGCAGACAGACATTACACCTGCACAGCAGCATACACCTGCTCAGAGCCTTTGTAACCAACACACTTAACCACACTTGTGCCTCCAAGATGCCCAAGAAACTTCACTGGCTAAGACATGAGAACTAAGTAAACGGGAAGGGTTTTGCGGGGAGGGCTACAGGAGGCATTAACGCTCGCACGCTGCTTTGCTGGCAGTCTGTTCTATCGCCTTTCCCTTCCACTAGCCACCTCCTCTTAAGTTTTACACATGGAAGTAGTTAGCCTAAAGCACTCCGAGCCTGAGGGAAGGCTGACTGAAGCTGCTCAGCCTCTTACCAGCAGCTAAAAGGGAAGACAGCCACCACTGCAGGCAAAACAATCTTGACTTGGAAAACTTCACTAAACTTGTTGCCAATTAACATAAGCTTTTAATTACTCCTGCCCCAGCAGCTACCGCCCTTTCTGAAGTACACCTGAGCAGAGGCGCCATGCTCTCCTTTGATTAGCCGCAGCTTTGGCGTGCAGCAGCAGGTTGGCATCACCCAGCAGGGCCACGCTCTAGTACCCCCTTCCACGCAGGCAAGGGCCAACCAAGCTTCCCATACTTTTCATCCCCACCATATCCTACAGCTTCCATCTTGAAAGATTTTAATTTTTTTCTCCAGCAAAAAACAAGCTTTTATTTCCTTTCCTGTGCTCAACGTACAGATGCACTAAGCCTCATTCAACATACACATTTCAGCTTAAATCCAGTTCTTTGCATCCCACCCAACCAATCTCAGCGCCCAGCTGGTGAACCCGAAATCCCCAGCCTTTGCTGGCTGTTGTTCTTTGGACACGGTTGCAGTTGGTTTTCCCCACCCCAGCTCGAGCGCTCCGCAGCGCGGCGGGGACAGCGCAGAGCCCTGCTCCAGTGCAATGGCACGGGACGCAGACCTCCTTACCTGACTGCCTCCGGGGAGGTCTTAAAGGGAATATTTCTGTTGTACTGTGCATCGGAGACAAACGCCGCTGCCAGCAGGAGATCCTGTGGAAAGGGGAAAAAGCACACAGACGGCTAGTCAGCGTGTCGGAGGTGGAATAAACTCAAGGCAGGTGCTCAAAGGAGGTCCCTTTCACTATGGGGCACGCTGTACAGGCGAGAAGCGGTCCAATGGATGCCGCAGCTTCGCCCGCACACGTCCCTCCTCTGCTAGCGAGGAGCCATCCTGGGACCCCCGTCCTCCCCGGGGCAGGGGGACGGCACCGGAGCTCTCCGCTACCTGCGAGGCCGCCTCCGCCATGGCTC